AAGGCAGCCAGGAAGATATTCCAGAGAGAACACATGGCACACAACAGGACGAGCTAACACGGATTGCAGGTGGGCATGGCTCAAGTGGAAGCACTTGCCCAGTGAGCTCAAGGCCCAGGGTTTAAACCGCAGTACCATGGGTGGTGGGGAAAAACACAGATTTGATACAGCTGAAACAGAATACAGAGTCTGGAATGGTACCATGGAGGCAGGTTGAGGAGTAGAGTGACCTTTTGTGCTACAGGAATGGGTGTACGTAGCACTGGTATACAGCATAGAAGAGGGACACAAGTAAGGAAGGGAGAGATAAGGCAGCCATGGCTAGAGCCCATGCTAAAGCCAACGAGTGCTTGAACTCCAGGCAAAAAAGATGGAAAAGAGTTGGACACCAGTAGCTCATACCTATAATCCTATCTACTCAGGAGGCTGAAATCTGAGGACTGAGGTTAGAAGCTAGCCTGGGTAGGAAAGTCTGTGAAACTCCTATCAATTAGCTACCAAAAAGCCAAAAGTAGAGTTGTGGCTCAAGTGGTAGAATGCTAGCCTTCAGCTTAAAAAACTCAAGTACAGGATCTGAGTTCCAGCCCCAGGACCCACACCCACACAACAAAACCTCTGTGTGATAAAGTAAAATGTAAAAGGAAGTAAGGGAAAGAGACAAAAGAATAAGCAAAAGGACCCAAGAAGCCAGGCACTGCTATGCACACCTGTCATCCTAGCTACTCAGGGGTCTGGAGGATCTCTGAGGTCAACCTGGCAAGAAACGTCTGAGAGACTGTCTCCAATTAACCAGCAAAAGCAGGGGTGGAGACACAGCTTAAGTGTAACATCAACAGTCTAACAAGCTTGAGGCCTTGAGTTCAAACCCCTCCTCTCCCAGGACACAGAAAAAAAAAAAAGGAGGGGGAAGAAATCTTAGTGAATCAGATGTAGCAAATTGTTGAATTAAAACAGATTTAATGAGAGCAAACAGATGTATTGTCAGTAGTGAAAAGGGCAAAGGAAATCACACAAGCAAACATTTAAAAGGAATATCAAATAAAAAAATAGGATGAGAATTTAAAAAATGAGGTAAAAATGTTAAGAATCCAGTGATTAAACAGATGGAGACAGTTTTACCTGCTGGGGAAGGAGAGACCAGGCTGACATCAAGGGGCAGGACCAGAGTGTCAGGCTCAACTTGCCCATCTGTTCCATCTCTATTCCATTCGGAGCACCGCCTCACTCTAAGTAGTTAACCCTAGCAACTGCCTTCCTTCTGAACTGCCTGGAAAAGAAAAGCTACCCGTTGGGCTCAGCCAGGATGTTACCAAAAGCCTTAATCCTATGGCCACTAACACTCAAGCCCAGTATACAAGACTAATTCCCAATCAGGTGAAAATGTACAATATACGGTGTTGTTTTCCTAGTCAGGGAAGCCAAGGGATTGTCTATTTTCCTTCTTAATTTACCTTTTTAAGACCTCTTACTGATAAAAGTAGAAAATATCAATTTCACATTCTTTAAATGTGCTTTAGGGAACTGAAACCAAAAGTAAAACAGAACACTTCAGTAGGACTGGATCTGTGAATGCAATACAGAAAAACATTACTTGATACATACGGATTTGTACACTTATTTTTTTTTTTTGAGGAGTATCTTCCAGGTGGGTGCAGTGGCTCATAATCTTAGCCACTCAGGAGGCTGAGATCTGAGGATCAAGGTTTGCAGCTAGCCTGAGCAGATAAATCCAAGAGACTCTTTCTAACCCATAAAAAGCCAGAAGTGGAGGTGTCACCCCACTGGTAGAGTGACAGTCGCAAGCAAGAGGGCAAGGCCCTGAGTTCAGTATTTACACCAAACAAACATTATCTTCCTAACAGTTAAAGTGTAGAATTTTTCCAGCTCAATCCAATGAGGATCCCTGGAGTTCCTCACTGAGGAAAAACAGACCACTAGGTGAGGAGCAGGCCTGGAGTCCCTGATTAGTTCAAACCGGTGTGCAATACTTCTCATGCATGTGAAAAGCACTTATTTCATAGCATTTTTCAAAATGCTTAAGAACGAACCTAGGTAGACCTTCAGATAGACAAATGTGTGTCAGTGTCCCAGATAGTCTGAAAATGTCACATTTATCTTTTTTTGGTGGTAATGGAGTTTGAACTCAGTGCCTTTGCTCTACCACTTGAACCATGCCCTCAGCCCTGAGTAAAACAATCATTTCTAGAACACAGGGAGCCAGAACAGCTACACCTAGGAGCAGTTTACATCTCCACTCCCTAATGGGTTACATAATTCTGGATTCATTGCCATCTCAATTTTGTCCCTAGCTCTCTGAAATCACTTCTGCTTATATGACAGATTTTCAAAACACATTTTTTTTGGTACTTATTTGACTGCTTGGATACAGATTATATGGTTAAAAGCATAGACTGTCCAGGTTCAAATCTCAGCACTATTACTTGCTAGCTCCACCACTAAGGGCAAATGACATAACTCTCCTGTGTTTCACAGCCGCAGCGATGGAGGTTTCTTTGTTCACAGAATTGTGTGAACATTCTGACTTCACAAGGTTTGGTTGATGTGAGAATTAAGCAAGCATCTAACAAGGAAAAGATTCTAACAGTTAACACTGAGTAACTTTAAAAATCATTTGAAATCGGTTTGCTTAACTCTGTCCTCCTGGCTCTTTGGTTCCCTTTCTCAACTTTTCATTTAATGCCTGTCCAGTAGATCTTACTTTAGGATGGTTACAAAGATCATTTGCTGTGCTGTGCCTTCACCACCAGCCTAACTCTCCCTCAGCATGGCCAACAAGTACAACAGCCTATCATGTCTTCTCTACATATCCTGAGTTGAGCTTACCCAAGCTGTTCCATTCAAGAAGGTGCCTTTCTCTTTCCATGTACCTCACACATGGACTTAAGGCCCCATTCTCCTTCTCTAGAAATGTTAGGTGCCCTTTCTTACGGCGCTTCAATTAACTTGGTACAATTTTTTTTTAAATCACATTCTATTTTTAGATGTATGTTTGGTTGCTGACCCATCTCACCTAGCCGAATCTTCCTGTAACCTCCTACTAAGAACAGAAAAGGGTCTGGTGGTAGTAGTGGCTCATACTTGTAATACCAGCCACCTGGGAGGCTGAGAGCTGAGGATCACAGTTTGAAGCCAGTCTGGGCAGACAGATCGGTAAGACTTTTTTCTCCAATTAATCGGCAAAAAACAAACCAAAAAAATCCACCAAAAACTGGAGGTGTGGTTTAAATGGTAGAGCACCAGCCTTGTGCGAAAAAGCCAAGCAAAAAGAGCACAAGTCTCTGAATTCAAGACCCAATGCAGACATAAAACAACACAAAACAACAGCAAAAGGGGTGGGCTTATGACAGGCAGGTTCTTTTTCCTCTGCCTTCTTCTTAAGACTACTTCCTGTTCTTCTGCTCATTGTTCGCTCTACCCCTGCTTTAGTTAGGTCACTGAAATTAGGCGAAATGCACCCGGAAAGGGTATGTGCACAGAGGTACCTAGACAGTAAAACTTCTCACTAGATTGTACATGCTCTAGACATATTTCTTTCACCACTGGCCACGAGGCTGCTGCATATATCAACTCTAAACAATTGAGCCCTCTCTCTCCAGGTCTACACAAGTACCAAATACTATGGTACCATTACTTAAGATTTTCAGTCTTTCAAAGGCTTATTACCAAACTTACCTGGAACTGAGGGATAGGTCTTTTCCTTCTAGAGACTTCGGAACACTACTTACTAGAAAAAGTAGCTTTGTATACCATGCACTAAACTCTAACTGGCAATGCAGAGGGGATGCATATAGGTAATCCCAAGATACTCAGGACTGGATCAGGGTTTCAGGGTCACAGTGAAAGTAAAGCCCAAGCAGTAAATTGTGAGACCTGGGCTAGTAGGACAAATCTATAATCCAGCTGTGTGGGAGGCCTGGTGAGGAGAATTGTAGTATGAAGCTAGCTTTGAGTAAAATGTGTGAGACTCTATCTGCAAAAGAGCTGAAGAAAAACAAAAAAGCTGCAGGCATGTCAAGTGGTCTAGCAAGTACAAGGCCTTGAGTTTCATTACCCCAGTACCACCAAACACCAAAAAACAAAAGATCTCTTAACCAGAAAGTTTGGGTTCCTAATAAAATGAAGAAAGAAAAATGTATTCTGCTTCTGTAAATTATCAGGAATAAGCATTTATTTGCTCTGTTATAAGGAAATCAGAGTTTTTCTTCATTAGGAAACAGGACAGTAGCTCTCATGATTCCTTAAGTGTTATAAAACTGCTTACTAAAGTTCTTTCCAAAGATGTTAGAAGGTAATTTTCTTGTACAATTAAAGAAACATTTGCAGCACATGCCAGAGTTATAGGTTATACTCTAGACCTCTGTGATGATAACCAAAAGGTCTATTTGCCCCATTAAAAAAAAAAAAAAAAAACCACTTCAGAAGGTAAAAGATTTGAAACCCCGGTTATCCCTGAGCAAGAAAGGAAAGACTCCTGTGTACTTTTACTAGGCAATAGAATCCACTGGTGAAGGAGCTACTTATCTGTGGAACATTCTTGAAGAACTGACATAAACTACAACAGGAATGAGGTGTGCACAGAGGTTTCCTTAGACAGATGTAGTTAGCGGTCTGAGTGGTGGACCTGCCAAGATTCTAAATTTAACTATCCAGCTGCAAAGTTTTTATTTTGACTGAGAGAATATCCTGAGAAGTTGGAAGTATCAGCCCAGGGGAATATCTGATTATTTGAAATGTCAGCAAATTGTGGTAGGAGGAAAACAAAGCATGGGGGAAAAAAAAGTAGTGGACAACATGACGGACACAGCTGAAGTTTTGCGCTAGATTTTTCTCATTAAGCAGAGGGCCTCTCGCTATTATTTTGTGTTACCCTCACTCTTCTATTAACACTGCAAAATAAAATCAGTAATGTCTCTAACTTACGTTTTGTTTAAAAGAATGAGAGAAAACATTTAGCTTCTTAGTCAAGGAGTACTATATAATCTCAATGTATCTTAATATAATTTATTTAACCCTAAAGCAATTGTGCAATAAGCAAAAAATATATATATAAAAGGAAAACAACGAAGGGTAACTTTTACAGGGGCCGACAGAATCTGTGCAGCATAGCAATGAACCTTCACGTACTTGGAGTCTTGTCTGAAAGGCCATCAAAAACCCAGATCACTGAAAAATCACAAATGTCACCAACAAAAGGAATGTTGACTCAAGTTGAAAAACTTCCCACAGGGCTTCCTTCTTTGAAGGATTTTCAGGATTTCAGAATTTGCTAGCACAGGTTGGCTACCTTTCAATCTATTGATGGCTCTATTCAAGAATGAGAATACCCCACTCTGATGCATTTTAAAATGTACTGGAAGGGGGAAAAAACAAGATAATCTACTGTTCCCTAATATATATATGGCTTAGCACCCAGAGAAAGCCTCTGTCCCACATAGAGACTTCCGCGGAGGGTTAAGCTTCATGAAATGAGGCGTAATCTTTCATTTTCAAGACAGGCCTTTTCTTGCAAGGTCTTTTAGAGGAAGAAGTTCCACTTGGATTCTAATTCACATCCCTGTGAGCTCAGCTTCCTGAAACATTACACGTGCCGGGTTCTAGGGTTTCCCTTACCAGCAGTGGGATTCACTATTTCACAGCCACCAGAATCGCACATACACTATTAACATGATGAAAAACACAGCCACGGCTGCAAGTTTGGCGTAAGTGGAACGCATGTTCAAGTACTTCGCATCCTGCCGGTACTTTTTGGAAAGGCTGGACAAATTGTTTGCCTTGGAATCCAATGCTGTCAGGAAGGAGAAAGAAGAACATTAATTAGTTCCTGGAAAGAATTTTATCAAAACTATGAAGGCATCAAAACAACCAAAATGATCAGCAAGGTAACAACCTACCTTGATACTTTTTTGTTGTGGTAGGGTTTTGAACTCAGGGCCTGGACACTGTTCCTGAGATTTTTCACTCAAGGCTAGCATTCTACCACTTTAAGCCACAGCTCCACTTCTGTTTTTTGAGTGACTAATTGGAGATAAGAGTCTCAAGGGGACTTTTTTTTGCCTGGGATGGCTTTGAACCACAATCCTCAGATCTCAGCCTCCTGAGTAATTAGGATTACAGGAATGAGCCACCAGCACCTGGCTTAATCTATCATTTTTTTAAGGGTAAAAGTTGCTTATCCAACTCAAGCACATTTAAAAATTAAGTCTACTCTTAAGGCTGTACTAGAAGACCAGGTTTTGGTCTCAGATTCTTTGGCTCAGATATCAACTGCACCAACCATGTGATATTGGTCAAGTCATTGAACTTTTCTCAATTTCTGATTTAAAAAAAAGCCAGTACTGAGACTTGAACTCAAAGCTTGGGTGTTCTGTCCCTTAGATTTTTCATTCAAGGCTGGTGTTCTACCACTAGATCCACACCACACTTCCAGGTTTTTGGTAGTTAATTGGAGATAAGAGTCTCACGGACTTTCCTGAATTGGCTGGCTTTGAACTGTGATCTTCAGATCTCAGTCTCCTGAATAGCTAGGATTTTCAAGCCTGAGCCATTGGCACCTGGCTGATATTTTTCTAATAGCTAGTACTATTTTTGTAATCTTTAGGTAAAGACATATTGTAGCATACTTTAAAACACTAGAGCCCATTTAAGACTCAGATAAACTTCAATAGTGATTGTTACCATTTCTAAGATTCTCTATATAGTAAAGACTATTATAATGTTAAAGTGATCAGAGATTATGTATCAGCTGGTTACTCAGGAGGCTGAGAACTAAGGATTGTGTTTCAAAGCCAGTCTAGGCTGGGAAGTCTACAAGACTCTTATCTCTAATTAATCACCAAAAGGCTGGGAGGAGAGCTGTGGCTCAAGTGGAAGACTGCTAATCTCAAGCACAAAAACTCAGGGGCAGCACTCGGGCCCTGAGTTCAAGTCCTACAAATAGCACAAAATAAAAAGAAAGAAATTATATTTTAACTTACAAAGGAAAGTAATATTGTAACTAAACTATAGCAATAGACTCTAAAATGTAAACACAAAAGCTTAGTGAATTTTAGATTCTATCATTTTCTGCAAAGACTGTCTCCTTCCTATGACATATAGCATCTTCTTAAAACAGCTGAGCACTTAAGAAAAACAGCCAGGGGCTGGGAAGGTGGCTCAGTGGAAAAGCACTTGCCTTGCATGCATGAGGCCCTGGGTTCTATTCCTCAGCACCACATAAGCAGAAAAAAAAAAAAAGCTGGAAGTGGCGCTGTGGCTCAAGTGATAGAGTGCTAGCCTTGAGCTGAAGAACTGAGGGACAGCACCCAGGCCCAGAGTTCAGGCCCCATGACCAGACCCCAAAAAAGAGAGAGAAAGAGAGAGAGAGAGAGAGAGAGAGAGAGAGAGAGAAACAGCTAGACAGGCACAGCTAGGTCAGATTAAAATGTAAGGCCTATTTTAATAATGAAAATAAACTTGCAGTTTGACATAAATGAATATGACCCCTCAACTTTCCCCTTATTTTGTAATTTCCAACCTGTTTATCCTGCCTTAAGACAATGCCTTTGGAATATTTGAAGTTGCTTAATAGACTGGTTTTGATTGAGAAATAAAGGATTACCTAATAATACAACTGATCACATATGAAAGTAAAACTCCAGCCAGGCACTGGTGGCTCAAGCCTGAAACCCTAGCTACTCAGGAGGTTGAGATTTGAGGATCACAGTTCAAAGCCAGCCCAGGCAGGAAAAGTCTGTGAGACTCTTATCTTCAATAAATCACCAGAAAACCAGAAGTGGAGCTGTGGCATGGACGAGTCTTTACTCTGTTCTAACTCAACAAAATGAAATATGCTAGGAAGAAAAATAAAAAACTAGTATGTTGGAAGCTCTGTATTGTAATCTACTTGTGAGACCCAATCCTTGGCAGTCCAGGGAGAATGTGACAGCTCCCCAAGCCTAGGCATGAAAGGTCCCTTGGTAAGACACCCTGCTTGCAGGTACCTGAGAGCGCCTCTCCTCGCTGCAGCACTTCCTCAATGTTGGCCACCATGATCCTCTGCACGTCTTGCAGCTCAGTGTTGATGGAGCCCAGGTTTCTCCGAGCACGACTGTCAATGTAGAGCTTCTTGGTTTTCTGAATGAAGGTATCTAGAATGATGAAGAGAGCATTAGCATCTTTCCTGTCTATTGGAGTTCTGAGTTGATATCTGGTTCTGCCATTGGTGTCCAAAATCAGCTCACCAATGGGATATCACAATATGGGCTTTTATTTTTTCATTTAAAAATGTAAGATGTAATCAGATAACATTTCAGGAGTAACGTCCTTTGGATACCTTAGAATTAGAGGTATCTGCTGTCAGATTCATTATAGAAGCCAGGGACAGATAGTTCATGCCTGCAATGCTAGCTATTCAGGTGGCTGAGATCTGAGGATCACAGTTTAAAGCCCAGCGTGGGTAGGAAAAGTCCATGAGACTATTATCTCCAATTAACCACCAAAAAGCTGGAAGTGGAGCTGTGGCTCAAGTGATAGAGCACTAACTTTGACATAGTGCCCAGACCTCCAGTACAAGCCCAGTATTAGCTCACGTGAGCACATGTGTGTGTGTGTGTGCGCACACGCACATACACACACCATTACAGAAATTAAGGCCCATTCTTATAGTTCTTTCCTGAAGGCAGAAACTTTCAAACTGTATTTAGAAGACCTTCAGGATTTCATTATTTACTTCTGTATATTCTCTAAGATGTTGGCTACTATCTGTATAGCCTAGTTGTCAAAAGAGTGATCATTAAAAAGCTGAAAAATGTTTGTATTCTTTAAAAATATATTTGTCAGTTATCCCATTCTTAAACTTTAAGTAATGTAAACGTGTAATAAGGAATTTCCCAAAGTATCAATATAAAACTGCAGCTTTATCCATCTTTCGCCTACATTTGCATTTCTCAAAGCTGTAAGAATGATAATAAAAATATTTTTCTTCAGTAGAGAATAGTTTAAATGACATAAATATAAAATGTAAGGACCCTCCCTGATAAGTGGATGTTAAATCCACAATGTTAGGTGATACGACAAAATTAACAGGACTTAAGAAACAAAGAACTTCCACTCATCTGGTCGAACCACTACTAAATATCCCCATGCTGCTGATCACATGTATGGTGTATATGTGTACACCGTTATATGTTATAGACCGTGACAGACAATTTGCTCCAGTAAAGTTAGAATGAGCTTGTGACTTTAAATGAGCATCATTATTCCACAATACTGTGAAATTTGGGAAATTATGTAATCACTTAATCACAATCAAAAAAAAAAAAAAAGAACCTCGGGGAAGGTAGGGAGGGAAGGGATAGTAGAGGGAAAACAATGGAGGAGGTAACAATGCTCAATAGGAAGTATACTCATTACCTTACTCATGTAACTGTAACCCTCTGTATAGTATCTTTACAATAAAAAATTAAAAAAAAAATCACTCCAAAAAATTAAAAAAAAATGTAAGGACCTTCAATGTCTAGCTTTTATCTTGTTTTAGATACTTGTTTAGATACTTGTTTTATCTTGTTTTAGATAAAGGAGTCAATATTGCTTAGTAATCCTAGCTGTGTTTCCCACTTGTAATCCTCGCTACTCAGGAGGCTGAACTATGAGGAATGAAGTTTGGAGTCGGCCCAGGCAGAAAAGTAAGTGAAACTCTTTTTTTTTTTTTTGTCTTTTCTTTTTTGGTACTGGGGATCGAACCCAGGACGTTGCTCTTGCTAGGCATGCGCTTTGCCACTGAGCTACATCCCAGCCCATAAGTGAAACTCTTATCTCTGACTAGTTAGCAAAATGCTGGAAGTAGAGATGTGCTTCAAGTGGTAAGAGTGCCAGCCTTGACCAGGCCCTGAGTTCAAGCCCCAGTACCAGCATACACACACACACACACACACACAAAGAGAGAGAGAGAGAAAGAAGTGAAGGGCCAGAACTTACCAAACTCAATAAAGGAATAAGGTCTAGATACTGTGGGCACCTTCTTCCCATGCTGCTCATCAAATTCTGAGTGCAAATCTTCTAGGTAGGCAAAAGCCAGCTTCTTGGGGAAGGCAGCTTCACACAAAACCAAGTAACACACACCCTGTTCAATGATGTAGCTGAGTGACAAAAAAGCAAGACAAGAGTGGTTTGAAAGGAACAGTGCCTTGGGTGGAAGCAGACTCTCTGTACACATAAACTTTCGAAAATGTCTGGCCTAAACTCCTTGAGCCTGGCTAAATCAGAAGTTTCAGACCCCGGTCCTTGGGATCAGAAAGCAAACATTTTCCCATTAATTACAAGTATATCCCAAAAGGAGTAGGTATATTTATTACAATTGTTTATTCATGATGTAATTCTTTAACCAATATATATCAGTACCTAAGAGATTTTCTGGAAAACCAGAGTTGTGGGGTTTCCATTCACCCTTTGAGTCTGTATGAAAAATTACCATGCACATATTAAACCCTGTCCAGTTTCAAAGCAAAATAAACTCAAAATTTCTGCAGATACTTAAAAGTTGTAAGTTAAATGACATATTTACTGGGTACAGAAAACAGCCATCTGTGACCACCAGTGAAACCTTGAAAAACTCTCATCAGCTGGGAATATTCAACTACTGAACTGACTTCCAGAACTGTGAGCTCTAATATTCTTAGAAATAAATTAAGATATTTCCTAACTTTTTACTCAAACTATTTTTTTTAGCTTATATTGACTATACAAAGAGGTTTCATTGTGGTATTTCCAAACATGCTCATAATGTATTGCATTCAGCTTCTTTAGTATTTTCTTATTTCTTTTTTAAAAGAAATTTTAGTGGGACACACATACACACACACACACACACAGTCATAAGACTGATGAAGGCCAGGCATACCAGTAGTACATGCCTGTAATCCTGGCTCCTCAGGATGCTAAGATCCCTTCATCCTTCTCGTAGACACATGCCCTGTCCATATTTACTGTTTGAGGGGGCTGGACACATAGCTCAGTGGTACAGCACTTGCCCAGTATGCACGGGGGAGAAAAAAAAATCGCCAGGTGTGGTGGTACATGCCTGTAATCCTACCATTAGGGAGTCTGAAGGAGAAGGATTGTGAGTTAGATTGTAAGTTAATATCAATTAAGGGGCTGGGAATGTGCCTTTGTGGTAGAGTGCATGTCTAGTAGGTATGAAGACTCTGGGTTCCATCCTTAGCAATAAAAAAACAAAGCAAGAAAACAAAATCACTAGTGCTATAGTTATTTGGATGCTTTTGAATTGTTTTATAGTTTTTTCCCAAATGATAATCTTCACTCATTATTCTTTATGTGGCAAACAAAATGCTAAATAATAAACATGGATCCCTTTAAATCCCGATAAAACTCCTATAATTGTTTTCCATCTTCTAGAGTAAAAACTCATGCTTGGTCGTGCTTATGGGAAGTATTCAACATTACACTGTTAATGAATACTTACACAAGAGAACTCATCTATACATGTGTCTGGCTTCAAGACATTCCTAAAGCAAGAACCTATCTACTATTGTATAATGCCCATAATCTACTGGGCATCATTGCAAGCAATCTCAATAAACAAATCGAAGTTTTAGTGTTTTACAATTAAGAACAAGAAAAGTTGCTTCTATGAAAAGACTATATTTTTGTAGTTACCTTTACTTAAAAAAAAAAAAAAAGCTCACTGGACACCAGTGGCTCATGCTTGTAATCCTAGCTCTCAGGAGGCTGAGATGTGAGATTGTGGTTCACAGCTAGCCTAGGCAACGTAAGCCTGAGAGACTCTTATCTCCAGTTAGGCATGGAAAAGTTGGAAGCAGAGCTGTGGTTCAAGTGGTAGAGTGCCAGCTTTGAGCAACAAAGAGATAGAATCAAGGTCTTGAGTTCAAGCCCCAGTAATGGCCCTCAAATAAGTTAGTATTCGAACGTGTTCTGTGACCGTATTTCATATTTAAATGACAATGAAGAAATCAGGAATATACGCACTGAAAAGTCATGGCTCCTGCTTCCAAGGTACATCTGGTTGGGGACTGCTCATTCAACTTCCTGAAGAGTTGCTTAGCTTGACTCTGATACTGCTGAAGGTCCCGGCCAGACTGAAAGAAGATATGTTCACTTAAGAATTTGCCACCAAAAAAATAAAAGCTGTATCAGTTAGTCAGAGCTAATCTGCCCCTCCTTCCAGCCTGAAGCCCCATGCATGAACTAGGAATACACGCCCACTTTCATGGCATAATGTGACTAAGATCCTTCATTTACAGGTTAGGAAGGTTCATTTTAATGAAAGAAAAAAGGGCCTCCCATTAGAACAGAAAGACCCAAGTCCTAGTTCTCAAAAAAGATCACATTATTCACTAATAAGCAAAAGCCTATAACTCGGTTATACTTAATGCACTGTTCTTTTCACTATTAGGTCAGTAGTCTCCTCCTAAGCCAGTTTACTGGCACAGAATTGCACAGCATGTGCTGGGCCCTGGAGGAAACTCTGAAGTGAAAGAACAATGAAAACTGGGCATCAGTGTCTAACATCTGTAAATCTAGGTACTCAAAAGGCTGAGACCTGAGGATCGAGGTTCAAAGCCAGCTTGGACACAAAAGGCCATGAAGTTCTTACTTCCAATTAACTACCCCAAAGCCAGAAATAGTGCTGTAGCTCAAGTAGCAGACTGCTAGCCTTGAACAAAAAGGCCAAGGGACAGCAGCGAGGCCCTGAGTTCAAGCCTCAGTACTGGCATATACATGCATGCATGTGTGCGCACATACAGAGGCACGTGCACATAATGAGCATCATGTTTACAGTGGGATCTCAAGCAGAATTTCCCACAGTATTAACTTACAGAGCATTTAAGCAAAACTAACTGGGTACACCATGACTAAAAACTACATGAACACTATGTTTGCAGCTAGGCAAAAATAAGCAGGGTAGAGACAAAGACTGGCAAGTCAAATATTCTTCATTATATAAATCAATTTGGTTCTCCACTCTGGCTAGGGAGCCTTACGTGAAAATGAATAAAACATTCAAATCATATACATAATATTTCCCTGAACAATTTAGAGAGAGAGAGAGAGAGAGAGAGAGAGAGAGAGTGTGTGTGTGTGTGTGTGTGTTGACCCTGAAGCTTGAACTCAGATCCCAGGCATGGTCCTTTAGCTTTTTGCTCAGTTAGTACTCTACCATTTGAGCCACAGTTCCACCTCTCGCTTTTTGCTGGCTAATTGGAGATAAAAAGTCTCAGACCTACCTGCATGGGATGGCTTTGAATTGTGATCTTTAGATCTCAGCCTCCTGAATTGCTAGGATTACAGGCATGAGCCACCAGCACCTGGCTTGTTTATAGAGTGCTTGCCTAGCATGCATGAAGCCCTGGGTTTGATTCCTCAGTACCACATAAGTGGGAAAGGTCAGAAGTGGTGCTGTGGCTCAAGTAGTAGTGTGCTAGCCTTGAGCAGAAGGAGCTCAGGGACAGTACCCAGGCCCTGAGTTCAGCCCTCAGGACTGACCAAAAAGATAAAAATAAAAAAATCACTCAATGCTTCTAGTGTGAAGTGAACATTACTGTATTCTCTTCTCTTTAACTCTGTGCAGAGGTGTTAGACCTAACCATGTAGATAGCAAGGATCCCCCAAAGCAAACAATCTGTGGTACAGTTAAATTGCCTTCCTCTCCCGATCATTTAAGGTTGATTACTGTAATCGCTCAAAGAGGAAAATGGTTGGTTCTTGGGCTTGCTGGCTTTTGACCAGTCGAGCTCAGCAGGGATTTGTGCATGGTAAGAGCTTAGCTAAACATTCTTAGAAAGGCAAAAGATGATATTTGATAAAAATTAGTTGTTCCACAGTCCTGGGTGATGGCAAGACAAAGTAGTGTGGTTGTGTGGGTGATTCCAACTTTGTTCCCGTTACAACACAGGCAAATCCTAAATATACTATTTATTAGTCAACCTTGGGTTTGTTTCACAATTTATCCAGTTATTCTTATCCACTTTATTAGATTCTTATAGATATCACTATATAGAATGATGTGAGGAGTGAAATAGAAAGTGGAGTGTGTATGTGTGTGTTGACCCTGAAGCTTGAACTCAGATCCCAGGCATGGTCCTTTAGCTTTTTGCTCAGTTAGTACTCTACCATTTGAGCCACAGTTCCACCTCTAGCTTTTTGCTGGCTAATTGGAGATAAAGTCTCAGACCTACCTGCATGGGCTGGCTTTGAATTGTGATCTTTAGATCTCAGCCTCCTGAATTGCTAGGATTACAGGCATGAGCCACCAGCACCTGGCTTGTTTATAAAGTGCCTGCCTAGCATGCATGAAGCCCTGGGTTTGATTCCTCAGTACCACATACTTCACTGAGGAGTGAAGTAGAAAGTGGAGTCAGGCATTAAGTGTTCGGGCAGATTAGCTGACTGGGAACCTTTTGCAACTAATGGTAAAAGCAAACTGCCTATCTGTGAAGCAGCGGTGATGAATCTAGATCAGTTACAGTTCCTCAAACATTTCTGTCTTTCTTTTATGGTTCTGGGTATTGGACCTGGAGCGTTGCACCTGCTAGGCGAGCACTTTGCTGCTGAATTACACCCCAGCCCTCCTTGAGAATGTCTTATAAATTAGTTAGTATTAAATAGCAAGACATCACCTAGATGGCGAGTCCATTACTAAAATTTGTGTGTGTATATGTATGTGTGTATGTGCACACACACATGTGTAAGCCAGTCCTGGGATTTGAACTCAGGGCCTGGGTGCTGTCCCTGACTTTCTTTTGCTCCAGGATAGCATTCTACCATTTGATCCACACCCCCACTTCCAGCTTTTAGGTAGTTAATTGACAGGTCTCATGGACTTACCTGCCTGGGCTAGCTTGGATCTGCAATCCTCAGATCTCAGCCTCTCTAGTAGTTAGGATTAAGGTGTGAGCCAGTGTTGGCTGGTTCTAAAATAACTGAAGTACTTCTGGAGCAAGAGCTCTAGAGCCATACAATTTGACTGCAAACCCTCACTCCTTCCCTTGTCACCCTGACTGAGTCCTTGGGCAATCTGACCTCTCAATTGTTGGTAAATAAAATTCTAATCACCTCATTAGGCAACTGTGAAGACTCAATGTGTTAAATTACTTAAAGCAATTAGAGCAGTGTCCAGCAAAAAGCAAGTGGGCCTTGTATTTTCTTTAGATAGTAGTGTTTGAACTCAGGACTGCATTTGTGGGGCTGGTACTCTACATTTAAGCCATGCTTCTGGCCCTCATTTGCCTTTTTCTACTTCCATCTTGCCTTTCTTAGAGTTTATACACCGAGTTGCATGTAACATCCTATTTGTAAATATGCAATAAACAAGAATGAATGAATGATTGTTCATATTATAGAATCCATGAAAATCTCCATTACCTTCTCTAATATGGTTGATATAAGGAATGAAATACATTTAACAGCTTAGTACAGTGCCTGGTATGTAGTAAGCACTCTATAAATGTTCTAGGCACCATTATAAGGGAAGAAATAAGTCTAAGATTCATGGTTTTTTGTTTTGTTTATTCAAAGTTTAGGGCTGGACTCCAAGATGGCTCATGCCTGTAATCCTAGCTACACAGGACAATGAGAACTGGTGGTAGAACCCCAGCCTTGAACGAGAAGCTAAAGGACAGAGTTCAAGCCCCGATACCAGTACAAACGTACACACACACACACACACACACACACAATTTAGGGAAGACTTTGAAAGTGTTTTTTGTGTAGTTTCTTTCCTTGTCAATGAATTGAAGCAACTAATTTTGATAGAATACCAAATCAATACCAAATTTAAATTAAAAAAAATCAACTAATTTTCCAATAAAGTACCAAGGGTGAGAACAGGAGGTCTAGTAATATTAACATTTCCAAATTTACTTTGTATCCTTTGCCCATGTTAGAACTCAATGCTATAGTTGGAAAACTGACCAGATTCTGTCCCTCTCTACCCTACTGCCACCCCACATGGGAAAAATATTTCTCAAACTATGTGTCCTTCAAGGAAATGTTCCCATACTATCTCCTTTGTTCAAACTATAGTTCTTGAGCTCACCTGAATAATTTACACTTCTTCAGCAGTGGGTCAAGAAAATTCTTGTCTTTCTCTTTTCTTATACTACTACTAGAGCTTGGACTTAGGGCCTAGGTGTTGACCCTTAGCGTTTTTGCTCAAGACTTTTTTGCTCTACCACTTGAGTCACAGCTCTACTTCTAAGCTTTTTTAGTGGTTAATTGGACATGAGAGTCTTTTTCTGCTCAGGTTGGGTTTGTATTGAGATGGATCTCAGCTTTCAGACTACTCTGAAAGATTACAGGCATGAGCCACCATATTGCCCAGCAAGAAAATTCTCAACAAATTGAAAAGCACTTTCACACTTAAAAACTGACAGTGTTGCTGGGGGCTGGTGACTCATGTGAGTAATCCCAGCTACTCAGGAGGCTGACACCTGAGCGTTCCAAGCCAGCCTAGGCAGAAAAGTCCATGAGACTTTTTTTTAAATTTAATTTAATTTTATTTGTGAACATACTGTACAGAGGGGTTACAATTACATGGGCAGGATAATGCGTACATTTCTTACCAAGCATTGCAGCCTCCTCCTTTGTTTACCCTTCACATCCCTTCCCAGCCTCCCCCCTCCCCCGTCCATGAGACTCTTATCTCCAATGAAACTACTCAGAAAAAAGCCAGGAGTGGTGCTGTGGTTCAAGTGGTAGAGCACTAGCCTTAAGCAAAAAAGAGCTCAGGGACAGTGCCCAGGACTTGAGTTCAAGCCCCACAATTGGAAAAAAGAATTACAAAGAAAATTCTCAGTGTTTTCTTTTTTTTTTTCAGTGTTTTATTTTCCACAGTGTATCTCAACAGTCTCAGTTAAGTGGAATAAATAAAATATATTTCACTTGCCATAACTTATGATTTTCTTACCTCTTATCACTACTCTCCTAAAAGTGAATGCAAGTATTTTCTGTCAAACTTAAAAAAGCATAAAACAATCTAGAGAAGCTCCTTTACTAGTAGCACCTAATATCAAGCTTAGATGTCATTTCTGGGAAATCTTTCTGGATTTCCCCCTATCAACTTAAGTATCTTTGTGTTCAACCACTAAAGTCTTCCTCTGCTATACCGGTCCTATTACATCACAATTGCTAGTCATGTGACTTTTCCACTTCACTGAAGCTCCAAAAAGGTAGACACTGTGTCCTCAAATCCCCTGCTCTAATGACATGCATACCATCCTGGATGTACTTGGTAGGATTTTCTCCCACAAATAGCATCAAGTAGATGTCCAAAATAGAAATGTGCAAAATGTATTTTTTTCTAGAGCTTGTCTTTTTTAAGCCATGACCTTTTTTTTTTAAAGCTATGTAGGCTGCAAAATTAAGTCAAATAAAATTGATCATGTCTTAAAATTTTACATATTGCTAGGAGGAAGCAAGTGGAAGGGGGCAAATGGAGAGAGGAAGACACAAATCATTATATTCAGTGGACACGTAAAAATGGAAGTATGTAATTCCGAAGGTATGGATGGGATTGGGAAAGATGAGGGAGAACAAGGAAAGGCTGACACTGATGAAGATGCGTGTAATAATGTAATAATCAGACTTGTTGAAATGGAACTTCTCTGTACAATTACTTTGGGGGCAAGAAAAAGTCCATAAATCACATTCTTACCCTTCCTTCTTCTGGGACCTCTTAAGCTTGTTCTAGAAACTTGTCTCATACCAGACAATTTCCTGTGACTCTAAGGCACAAAGCAGCTTCCTACTTTATAGATATATGGAGTTGCAGATGATGTTTTAACCAGTTCAACACAATTTTTCTTAGTACTTATTGGCATAAAACTGAGGTTGTAAGAGCTGTGGAGAACACAAAGATGACTGGGCAGATTATCCACCTAGGTAGGAACTAATTCTGATTACTGAAGGACCAAGAGTAAGGCATAAGGAACTGCAGCGCTTTGGTTGCACATAATGAAGTAGGTGGAAATTGGAGATCGGCTGGAAGAAGATAGTGTACTGAACTTTGATAACTGATTACAAGTAAGTAGCCACATTATCTCATCCGCTTTCAAAAGATGTCAGCTAGGTAGGTCAAGGTTCGAGTGCAACACAAAAATGAAGTGAAGAACTCAGGGGTTGATCCGCTCCTTCTCCCCCCAACCACCTCCCCCACCCCGTATTTGACAGGAAGAAAAAAAAAACACTCGAAATTCTGAATTTTAAGAAAGTACCTTTAAAATGTCAGGAAACCCTGGTTGATAACCATTATTATAACAATGATAACAATCCCTTCTCGAGTGTTGTCCTCACCCAGGTAGTTTCTCACCACAAAGGATTGGGGTACTTGGGGAGGGGGGTGGCACAGGTCCCCACGTGATAGGGGCCCTTGAGGGGAGTGTGGCGAGGATTCCCTAAATGACAGGTATACTTGAGGGACGTGGCAAGGGTTCCCACATGACAAGGATTCTCGGGACGTGGTGTGGGCATCCCACTATAGCAGTACTCGGGTGGAGGTGTGGCATGGGCCCCCACACAATGGGAGTATTTCGGGAGGTGGGAAGTGTCCCCCACGATAGGTATACTTGGGGGACGTGGCACGGGAGCCACACTTGATAGGCGTCCTGGGGACGTGGTGCGGGACCCCACAATAGGAGTACTTGGGGTGGGAGGAGTCCCCCCCCACACATAGGATAGGGGTACGTGCGGGCCCTCACATGACACGGGTACCGAGGGTATGTGGGCGGACCCCCGCATTGTAGGGGGACCCAGGGAGTGGGGTGGCGCGGGTCCCCCACGTCCGAGCAGGACCCCGGAACCGAGGCCCGCGGGGACGGCGCAGCGCGCGCGGCGCTCACCTGCTCGTCCTCCTGCATGGAGGCGGCCAGCGGGAGCCCGTCCGCCACCCGGGCGATCATGGTTAGCAGCACCATCTTCACGGGCTACAGGGACGCAGCAGTGGCCCAGCGGCCGCGGCGGCGTCGTCTTCGCGTCCTCGGCCGCCACCAGAAGCTCGGCCCCACCTCCGCGCACACTCCAGCCCCGGTCTCCACTTCCCGCTGAGGTGGCCGGAAGTTGCTTACCGAACGTCCCACTACCGGTCCGCCGCCTCCCGCTGCCCTCCGGGAACCGCAACCACCCGGACCTTAGTTCCGCGGCCCTCCTGGCGACGCCAAGTTTCAAGGCCCTGCCTATCGCGCCTGGCCCCGCCCACATGGGCGGGGAGACCAAAGAATTTCTTCTACTCTGATCGCTTTAAGTTTGGGGAGAAGGTTGGAAAGGAGAGTGGGAGTTAGTGGATTCTTTAAATGAAAGGTTTGTGAAACAACTTAAAATCGGGCTACATATTTCCATACTTAATATTTCTATTTTGTAGACAATTATATGTTTTATGTACATAACATTTTCTAAATTATTATACTCTAGGCACAGATTTTTAAGTCCTTCTGTTTGTTTGTTTATGCTGTATGCCAAGATTGCTTAACAGTATCCAGTAAGAAATCAGTAGAGATTTTTTTTTTACGTAGGTGCCAGTCAGTACTAGAGCTTGAATTTAGGGCCTTGGTCCTGTCCCTTAGCTCTTTGTTCAAAGCTACCACTCTGCCACTTGAGCCATAGCTGTTTTTGGCTTTCTAGTGGTTAATTCGAGATAAGAGTTTCTCAGACTTTCCTGCTCAGGCTGGCTTCAGACCAACATCCTCACATCGCAGCCTCTTAAAGCAACTACAATTACAGGCATGAACCACACGTGCCAGGTGATTTTGATACGTTTTAGACAATAAAATTGTTTTTCCAGGAAGAGGATTTTAATATTCTTAGTTTCCTCAGAAACCAGGAAAAGGCTAGACTTGTCTGTATCAGACCCCAACTAAGACTTTAGGAACTCTAGTATCTGAGTCACTTTTGCTCTTGATTGGGTAAGGTCAATTGCCCTTTGACCCTGTGAGCACTGAAGGAGTATGAGATAACAGCAAGTGCTGGTATCTCTATGTGGAAGGTTCTCTACTGTTTTACAATATCAAAAACAACAAAGTATCAACAACCATTCTTTCAGAATATTAGAAGTTATAAGGTCTTTTGTATATCCTTCATCAGCCTAAAAACTGACAACATCCTTGTGATGAGTAAAATTTAAAAATTTTAGGGCTCAAACTGGGCACTGGTGACTCACCCCTGTAATCCTAGCTACTGAGGAGGCTGATCCTAGCTACTGAGGAGGCAGAGATCTGAGGATCAAAAGTTTGAAGCTAATCTGGGCAGGGAAGATCAAGACAGACACTCATCTCCAATTAACCATCAAACTGCTGGAAGCCTACCTCACATAGTAGAGTGACAGCTTTGAGAGAAAAAAAATCCAAATGGGAATGTGAGGCCCTGAGTTCAAGTCCCCAGACCTGGCACAAACAACAACAACAACAACAACAACAAAACCCTTAAAGTGTATAACATTTTTAGGAGTGAAAAAAGTTTATTTTAAACTATAGCAACAACTACCAGCAAATTTTTGGAACTTTATCAAAGAAACGGAGTACAAGGCACATATCAAAATCAACTTACGTTAAGCTGTTAAACACAGTGTCGGAGTTGATGACAGCTGTCAGATGGATGTAAAGATTTTTTTTTTACAAGTAGCATCAGAGGAGGTAACAGAAGCTTGTATCCATTCAAACAACGCTCAAGTGCCTAATTGTATGCCAGACCCTGAGACAGTAATAAATATTGAAAAATGGCAGTCCCAACATCCTGTGGCCCTATCCATCCCCAGACCAAGCACAGCACTTAGAACTGAGCTCTGTTTATGGCTGATGGGTTGAATTGAAACCTCTCTGCTCAACTAGGTAAAAATAACTTAGAAATTTTAGAAAAAAGATAGTGGCCACTCCTGTCTGAAGACTGCTGCTGCTGGTGGACATACTAAACTACCCCTAGATCAATATCCTAGCGATAGCTTTAAAATGGAACCACTGGATTACAGATTATTCAACAGAGCTCCCCAGCCACGCTGCGTAAGCTCCGCCCACTACGCCACCCGCGCTCTCCCTCCTCTCCTCACCCCTCCTCCCTGCAGCCAGACTCTATCCTGACTGGTCACGTTCCGTGCCAACACTGCTGGTTAAAAGCTCCTCGCAGTGCCAATTTAGTGAAATCAGGTGTGTGTGTGTGTGTGTGTGTGTGTGTGAGGTGTCTTCGATTTTGTTTTTTGCAGCCTGTAATTTGATCCTCATAGCTGAAATGGAAGAGTTGGAAGAGGGCAAAATAGAAGAGAACAGGCTTCTTGCTTTCTGATTCCTCCCATCTCAGCCTCAGAAATGCTGGGATTACAGATGGACACCACCACGCTCAGCCTGATACTACTTTTTAGACTCTTCAATCCGGTGTCAAGTGGTTCACGCCTTTAATCCTAGCTGCTCAGGAGGCTGAGATCTGAGATTCGTGGTTCCTTTGAACCAGCCCCGGCAGGAAAGTCTGTGAGGCTCTTATTTTTTTTATTAAACTACTCAGAAAAAGCTGGATGTGGTGCTGTGGCTCAGAGTGGTAGAACTCTAGACTTGAACAAAAGAAGCTCAGAGACAGAGCCCAGGTCTAGAGTTCAAGTCCCAGGACGAGTTTTTTTGTTTTGTTTTGTTTTTGAAAGAAAAGTATGGGGACTGGGAAGGTAGCTCAGCGGTAGAGTGCATGCCTTGCAAGCATGAGGCCCTGGGTTCGATTCCTCAGCACCACATAAACAGAAAAAGCTGGAAGTGGCACTGTGGCTCAAGTGGTGGAGCGCTAGCCTTGAGCTGAAGAGCTGAGGGACAGCGCCCAGACCCAGAGTTCAGGCCCCATGACCGGCAAAAAAAAGAAAAAAGAAAAAAGAAAAGTATGATCAAAGAATGTGAATTTCCATCTGAGCCTACCCAAATACCTTGCTAATGTTTCATTCTGGAACAGAGCAGACTTCATCCATTTAGCTGAAAACAGGAGGCCTCCTCCAAGTGGGCAGGCAGGCTCCTTACTGCAAGGCAGACAGCAAATCAGAAGGCACCTGCTCTGAGCCTAGCATCTTCTGCAAAATAGTCAACCATCACTGGCAGACTACTTTACTTTTAGTATTTAAATAAATAGAAGTTTATAAGCAAATACCATTTAAATTATTATAATTAAGAGCATATGATAGTATTAAAACACATTATGAAAACAAAAACAAAAACAAAAAACACATTATGAATGCCATTTAAATGACTAATATATCATATAAATTATATCATGCATTAATATCATATATAAGGAATGTTATTTACAAATGATAGTTTTAGATCATTTATGAATAATTTATCTATTTGTGATTGCTTTTATCTCTTCGTTAATTTTTATTGTTATTATAAAGATGATATACAGAAGGGTTACAGTTATATAAGTCAGGTGATGAGTACATTTCTTCTTGGACAATGTCACCCCTTCCTTTGCTGTCTCCCAATTTTTCCCTCCTGACTCTGCCCACAAGTTGTATTTTCAACATACTGTCTAGTGGATGCCACTGCTGCATTTGTTCACCCTTTTTCTCTCCCCTTCTATGCCCCTCTTACCCTCCCAAAGACAGAGAAATGAACAAACAAGACACAAAGAAAAGCAAACAGTAAAAACCCTCTTGTTTCCATTTCCTGGAGTTCATTTCAATAAACATTATTGTATATGATCAAAGGCACATAGGCATTGCACTTTGTGTTCCTCTCCTACTCGGATCCTCCTTTGGTCTCACTGTGTGTAAATACTGGGAGACTTAACATTTCAGTGAGGAAGGAAACAGAACAGCTCAGTACAGAAGACAACCTAAGTCCTATCAGGAGACAGAAGCCATGTTAACTGCTTTTCCTCCTGGGATGTTGCCAATTGTTGTAGGGACCTCAAAATCCAGCTGTTCTTTCCCTGCCAGCCTTTACAGAGGAAGAGGTTTGAGCATGCTACATTACTGGGGCTTGAGCTCAGGTCCTGGACACTCAGAGCTGGCACTCTACCATTTGAACCACACTTCTACTTCCAGCTTTTTGCTGGTTGATAAGAGATAAGAGTCTGATGGACTGTCCCGCCTAGAGTGGCTTTGAACCTTGATCCTCAGATCTCAGCCTCTTGAGTAGCTAGGATAACAGGCCTTACCATCTGTGCCCAGCTTGGATCTGACTATTATGCATTTCATATGACATTCAACTTGAATTTTATAACAAAAATGAAAGTTATTTTGATATTTGAATGTTCTGTGGTGGGTATGGTACAGGGTTTTCTTGGTAGCTACCGTTTTTTGTTGCCATTAATGATAGGATCCTGCTAAAATTACTGAAATTGTGATTTGGGTTCTTGGCGAGTCTTACATCATTGCAAAACTTTGTTCAATATGCTCTATGAATCGCTGTTGAGAAAAGTTAAAATACTGATATTGATAGAACAAGACCCAACTGAGCCTCTAGAATACTCCAAGGTGTTTTTACCCAGATGCAGGTAGCCCGCTCCTGTAATTCTAGCTACTCAGGAGGCTGAGATCTAAGAATCGCAGAAAGCAGCCAGCTTGTGCTGAAAACTCTACGAGACCTGTTTCTCCAATTTAACCAGCAAAATTCTGGAAGGGTAGGTATGGCTCAAGTGTTAGACTGCCAGCCTGGAGCAGGAAAAACAAAAAAGCCAGGGAAGAGCAGAAATCCTTGAGTTCAGCCCCAGTATGGGCACAAAAAGAGAAAAAGGAAAAGAAAAAAAAAAAGAGAGAGAGAGAGCAATGTGATATTGGAGTGGCATCTGAGAGGCAAAAGACCTCCAGGTTGAGCGCAGGGCTGGGGAGGGAAGGGACGGCTGCTGCGGGGCGGCGGGGTGCTTGGAGGAGGGGGACCCGAGTAATCGGGGCGGAGCCGTCGGCAGCCTGGGAGGAGGCGGGTCCCAGAGCATCTCCCGTGGAACCCTAGCAACGGGACCCTAGCAACGGGAGGCAGCTGCACATCCCTGCCCGGAGGACCGCGCCGACGAGTCCCAGGGAACAGGGAAGGCCCCGGGCGCCGGGCTCGCGGTGGCCAGGCCGGGGAC